TCATCACACATGTGTGACACAACATCAAGAAGTGTTGTGTCACACTTCTTACACTACTCATCACACTTTTGTGTCACTCACAAACACCCGTGTGACACGGGTGTTTCATGTGTGTCACATCAAGAGGTGTTGTGTCACACTTCTTAAAGTAATCTCTCACTCATAATGTATGTGTAATGAAATTTCTCACACCTTGGGATTTTGTGATTACATTAGGATAAAGAGCAAAAAACTAATTTTAAGTATGACTATGTTTTTTGTTGATATTGGGAGCTTTGAAAAGGGCCATTAACTTAGCCTCCCTTTTCAACTTAGCCTTCTCTTTACGTATGCCCTCAATGGCCATTGCACGTACTTCTTTAAAGGCAGTTTCCTGTTCATAAGCCTTCACACGTGATCTACGATAAGCCTCCCACTCACTGGAAGACATGCCTTCTTTATCTCTATCTTTTTCAAGTAGGGAAATACGGTCAACTAGTGACTGTGAAATCTGACATGAGGAGCCGTAGCGGGTAATGCGGCACTTTGTAGGATGTACTTCTTCGCCGTATTCATTGTATGTGACTGATTCTGATGTGTAATGTTCAACCTGGTGCATGATTCACGTTAGGGACCATCTTTTCATTCATTATACACTTCACACTCACCGAAGTATCCCATACAGCTTCATATATACCATCCAAAGGATCCAGGTCCACCACCACATCGAACTTCTTTAGGATAAACATAGCTCCAAAGATTGATCCCTTTCTAGGCGATCCTTCCACCTGATGAGGGATACCAGTCTCACGATCAATCAAGCAGTGGATTCCATATGCATACCGAGTATGATCACCATCTTCATGAGGATCATTGAAAAACCCATCAGCAGTAACTGCCATATTTGAAGCAAAGACCTTCCCGTTCGCAGTATCTTGCCACTCTAGATTGTCAAATCCGGGTACGTTGGCATCAAAACCAAGCTGAAGGTTTGATACGAAGATGGAAAAAGCTAGTGAAGCAAAGCGTTCAGCCAGGAAATCACGGATCTTGTGGAATTTGGCCATTCTTTGTCGGTCATCATCAATATGATCCACCTTTTGAGATGTGAAATCATTCAGAGAATAAGGTGCTATTCTGATGAACATCAGCCAACTGCATTGAAGT